GATAGATAGATAGATAGATAGATAGATAGATAGATAGATAGATAGATAGATAGATAGAAAAAAGGAAGCATGAAATAGTAGATTAGTACATGTCTTCTGGACATGACAGAATTGCTGCACTCATGAACTCACAGGAGTGTTTCAAGTGCGTTGAGGACAGAAAGACACTTTTATCTCTGAGGATGGGAAGCGCTATGGTGTGACTCAGAAATCTTTCCAGAGGCCCATGTTTTGAATTCTCTGGCTCCAGCTCACAGCACTATGTAGCAGTTGGTGAAGCCATTAGGAGGCAGAGACTGAATGTCAGATGTCCATCATTAGATGGCCTTTGAGGGTTGCTCCAGTCCTGATAATAGCTCTTTCCTTCCTCTCCATAACTGAGACAGCAGGTGCTTTATTTTCCTTTCATAGTCAGTTCCACTACTGTTTATGTCACAAACAGTAATCTATCTGAAACCATGAGTCACAATAAACCTTTACTTCTGGGTTGTTTTTTGTTAGGTAATGTTGTCCTAGCAAAGTAAGATAAAAGGCTCCCATGAACTCACAAGCCTTTAAACAGCTGTTGTATGATAATTGTTGTACCCACAGTTAAATCCTAACAAACTGAATGGCAGAAGGGAGACACTGGCTTATCTTGAGAGATCTATGCCTCCATTTCAGAAAAAAAGTCTGACAATTTTCTTCTCTTTCCCAGCACTGAATGATGTTAATAAAGTTGACAAAGCATAAAGAATAGATAACTATACTACAATAAATAGATTTAACTATAAGTATAATGATATAAAAGCATCCATGAAATATGAATGGCTTACTTAACACAAAAATATTAAATCTGTATGTTCCCATGGCTTATTTTTTAGAACGCTATTGGAGAACCACAACAAGAACAAAAAGGCAATGTACTGGTTTAGAAAAGAAATGGACGTTATGCACAGAGAACACAGCAATGGGCCGAGAGACTACACTTAGAATACCTTCCCATTCAATGAATTTCAGCCATTTGCATTTTCTCCCCTTCGCTGAAAACCCAAGTTGTTCTAAGGCTCTCATGTGCAGTCAGCCATCACTTTTATTTGTTTTATTTTAAGCTGTCTGTGCATTTCATTTTAACACCTAGACATAATTTTAATTCAATTACCCAGCATTATGCTAGCAGCTCAAGAATGTCACTGAAAGTGAAATTATATGCACATTTCCATTTGTTCTTCACCTGACTGGTTCTCAAAAATGGAAATCTGACAAGACGTCAGAAGGGACAGAGTGCCCTTATCTCCCCAGGCAACAATGTGTTATATTGACCAGCTGGAAATGAAAGCTTAAATAGCTCCTTTTTCAGTTCAGTTTGTAAACTGGTGCATCATATTTTTCTTAGAAATATCAAATGGTTCTTCCCATGAGTCACCATCAAAAAAGTTATACGAACAAAAACACCCAAGAAATAAACTAAAATTACCAAATACAGTTCTAGCTGGAACAGACTCTTTATTTATCCAGAAGGAAACTTGAGAAAGGATCACTGTCATAATGCATGGGATATACGTCTGAATCATAAAATAGCCCATCTTCCGTCTGAGGTGGAAGTAAACCGTCATCACAATATATTCACCTGCAATGAAAACGCAGAAAATATATCATTGGCCATGTAGGCAATTATTCAGTCACTTCATGAACATATGTGAGACTAACAGTCAGCATTCTGAGCAAAGGAATTAACATTGAAATGCATATTTCAATGAGAATTTAGTAGTTCCGTACTGTGGTTGGGAGAGCAAAAGAAAATGACATTGAAATGATCATTATCATCATACAAAAAAATTGCTGTTTTCTATGTATAGTTTCATCAATTTAATAATTGGGTTATAGCTTCAAAAAGATGACAGGGTTTTAAAGGTCTAATATGCTAAAGGAATTAGATTTCAGTTTTCAGTATTTGTATATACATGCAGTTTACTTAGATGTATATGTTCATGCACATATGAACATGTGTGTGTGCATACTGTATGGTCACTTTCAGAGGTTTCCTAGACATTGTGTAACTTATTCTGTAGCTGTCCACCTGATTTTATTTATTTATTTTCGTGATTGTCTGTCAGTAAACTTCAAGATATTCTTTTATATATATATTTTTTTATTTTTTATATTAATTACAGTTTATTTACTTTTTGTCCCAGCCGTAGCCCCCTCATTCCTTCCCTCCCAATCCCACCCTCCCTCCCTCATCTCCTCCCTGCCCCTCTCTAAGTCAACTGATAAGGGAGGTCCTCCTCCGCTTCCATCTGAACCTAGCTTATTAGGTCTCACCAGGACTGGCTGCAATGTCCTCCTCTGTGGCCTAGCTAGACTGCTCCTCCCACGGGGGGTGGAGAGGTCAATGAGCTAGCCATAGAGTTTATGCCAGAGACAGTCCTTGTTCCCCTTACTAGGAAAGCCACTTGGATACTGAGCTGCCATGGCTATGTCTGAGCAGGGGTTCTAGGTTATATCTATGCATGGTCGGTCCTTGGTTGGAGAATCAGCCTCAGACAAGCCCCTATGCCCAGATATATTTGGTCCTTGTGGAGCTTCTGTCCTCTCCAGGTCTTACTAACTCCCCCTTCTTTCATATGATTCCCTGCACTCTGCCCAAAGTTTGGTTATGAATCTCAGCATCTGTTTTGATACACTGTTAGGTAGAGTCTTTCAGAGGCCCTCTATGGTAGTCTCCTATCCTGTTTCTCGTTTTCTCCTACTTTTAATGTCCATCCTATTTGTCTTTCTAAGTAAGGATTGATCTTCTTACCCTGGGTCCTCCTTCTTGATAAGCTTCTTTAGGTGTACAGATTTTAGTATGAAGATAAACAATTCTTAAGACTAGTTGGCCAATGAATCTTTGGGCTCTTTCTGTCTCGGACTACATAGTGCCTGGATTGCATGCATGTGCCACAGCTGGCTTTTCATGTGGATCACATGGATCTGAACTCGGGTCCTTACGCTTCCAAGGCACATTACCCCTTGAGCAATAATCTATTCAATTGCAGTCTTCATCATTTTAAAAGCAGAATTTAGGCTTGTTATTTATAGAAAAATCAAACTAAAAATGTAAAAACACAAAAATGCATAGATATAAAATGAAAAGCCTAATTTTGGAAGGACATGGAATACATAACTTTCTACAAAATTATACAAACATTATCTCTACATCATTTATTCACTCGAACCTAACTCATCTGTAATACTGAAAATATTCATTAATAATAAATGCCATTAATAACTACAAAAAAATTATACAAACATGAGTATATTTTCAAAAATATTTCATACTTTTACATGTACCCAAGTATAGGGAGAATCTGGGTTAATTGTATTTCTAAGTGCAGCATACATGAGCAAAAGTACAAATAAATATAAGTGAGACATAAATTTAAAGGCTAGTAAGTAAATAAATAATAAACTTTCTGATAACTAGTTTTACTAGAATGATTATTTAGACAATGTTATTTAGGATCAGATGAGTATTCACAGAATAAGTCATAGATTTATAAATCTTTACTCCCATGTGTGTTTTCAGAACCACAGATGGGAAAATCAGTACAAGGTACCCTGTTAGGAGAACATTGAATTTTTTCATAATTAATAAAAAGAAGATATCCCCAAAATACTAATGCATGTAACAGTTATTGGAAAGACAGAAGACACTGAAATGTCTGAATATTGTGAAGGAGGAGGCAGAAAGAGTGTAAAAGCCAGAGGATCAGGGATTTTGCTGTGAGACTGTATCTTCTTGTAATAACTGAAGCTAAACCCATAATGTTTTACCATCATGGCTGCCTAAACATGAACTGAACAAGGACAATACCAATGGTCATGACAAACTGAAAGGAGAAAGAAACCCCCATAAGGCTCTAACCCTAAGGAACTATAGGCAACTGAAAAAAGTGAGGGGATGGGAGAGGAGGTCTTTTCCATGGAAAGGCATAAAAAATTGGTTGTCCAATGCCAACAGAGCCCTGCAAACGTACACACAAGTAACACACTATGAACTGACAATGTTGTATTTAAAAGTATGTGTGTGCATATATGCATTAATGCATTCAAGAGCAGGAAACCAGAGGCCATGAATTTGAAGGACATTGTGAATGAGTATATGGGAAGGTTTGGGAAGGAGGAAAGAGATAGAAAAAATGTAATTATGATCTTAAATGTTTAAAAAAAATGAAAAATTAAAAAAAAAACACCTGGAAGTTTTGGGCAGAGAAACAGTGCCAGCAATTTTCTAACAGGTTGTTTGGATGTATACAAAACAGTTTCAAGTGAGGAGAGAGTGAGCTAAAATATTTTACCATGAGATTCTCATGAATTAATTTCATCTTTTAAGAATTAAATTCCCTACATGTAGACATCCAGTTAGACCAGCACAATTTGTTGAAAATGCTCTTTTTTTCCATTGAATGGTTTTGGCATATTTGTCAAAAATCAGAGGTCCATAAGTGTGTAGGTTTATTTCAGAGTCTTCTATTCGATTCCATTGATCCACCAGTCAGTTTCTATGCCAATTACCATGCAGTTTTTACTATTGTTGCTCTACAGTATAGCTTGAGATCAGGGATAGAGATACCTCCAGAAGATCTTTTATTGTAGAGGATTGTTTTAGCAATTCTGGGTTTCTTGTTATTCCATATGAAGTTGAGAATATTTCTTTCAAGGTCTGTAAAGAATTGTATTGGTAATTTGATGGGAATTGCATTGAATCTGTAGATTGCTTTTGGTAAGATGGCCATTTTTGCTAATGTTAATCCTGCCAAGCCATGAGCATGGGAGATCTTTCCATCTTCTGATATCTTCTAATTATTTTTTCAGACTGGAAATTTTGTTCATACTTGGTTGGTTAGAGCCATACCAAGTTACTTTATGTCCTTCATGGCTATTGGGAAGGGTGTTGTTTTCCTAATTTCTTTCTCATACCATTTGTCTTTTGTATACAGGAGGGTTACTGATTTTTTTTTTTAGTTAATTTTGTACCCAGCCACTTTGCTGAAGGTGTTTATCAGCTGTAGGAGTTCCCTGGTAGCATTTTGGGGGTCATTCAGATATACTATCATATCATCTGCAAATAGTGATACTTTGACTTCTTTCTTTCCTATTTGTATCCTCTTTATCTCCTTTAATTGTCTTATTGCTCTAGCAAGGACTTCAAGAACTATATTGAAGAGGTATGGAGAGAGTGGCCAGCCTTGCCTTGTCCATGATTACAGTATGATTGATTTAAGTTTCTCTCCACTTAGTTTGATGTTGGTTATAGGCTTGCTGTATATTGCCTTTACTATGTTTAGGTATGTGCCACTTATCACCCTGCACAAAACTAAAGTCCAAGTGGATCAAAGTCCTCAATATCAAACGAGACTCACTAAAGCTGTTAGAAAAAAAAAGTGAGGAAGAGCCTAGAACTCATTGGCACAGGAGACAACATCCTGAACAGAACACCAACAGCACAGGCTCTAAGATCAACAATCAATAAAAGGGACCTCATGAAACTAAAAAGCTTCTCTAAAGCAAAGGACACTGTCATCAGAACAAAACAACTGCCTACAGATTGGCAAAGGATCTTCACCACCCAATATCTGACAAAGGGTTAATATCCAGAACATATAAAGAACTCAAGAAATTAAACAGCAACTAATCAAGTAATCCAATTAAAATATGGGCTACAGAGCTAAACAGAGATTTCTCAATAAAGGAATATCGATTGGCAGACAAACACTTAAAGATATCCTCAACATCCTTACTCATCAAGGAAACTCAAATCAAAATGACCCTGAGATTTCACCTTACACCCATCAGAATGGCTAAGATAAAACACTCAAGGGACAACACATCCTGGAGAGGTTGTGGAGAAAGGGGAACACTTCTCCACTGCTGGTGGCAATGTAAACTTGTACAACCACTTTGGAAATCACTCTGGTGCTTTCTCAGACAATTAGGAATAGTGCTACTTCATGATTCAACTATACAACTCCTAGGCATATATCCAAAACAAGCTCAAGTATACAAGGACATTTTCTCAACCATGTTTGCAGCAGCTTTATTTGTAATAGCCAGAAGCTGGAATCAACCCAGATAACTCTCAGTTAAGGAATGGATACAGAAATTGTGGTATATTTACAAAATGGAATATTACACGGCAATTAAAAACAAGGAAATCATGAAACTTGCAGACAAACGGTTGGAACTAGAAGAGATCATCCTGAGTGAGGTATCCCAGAAGCAGAATATATACGGTACATACTGACTTATAAGTGGTACTATACATATAAGATAGGATAAACATATTAAAATCTGCACACCTAAAGAAACTAATCAAGAAGGAGGACTCTGGGTAAGATTCTCAGTCCTCATTCAGAAAGGCAAAGAGGATAGACCTCAGAAGAGGGAGAAAACAGGGAACAAGAGAGGAGCCTACCACAGAGGGCCTCTGAAAGACTCTACCCTGCAGGATATCAAAGCAGATGCTGAGACTTATAGCCAAACTTTGCACAGAGTTCAGGGGATCTTATGAAAGAAGTAGGAAATATTAAGACCTGGAGAGGACAGGAGCTCAAGAAGGAGAGCAACAGAACCAAAAAATCTGGGCACTAGGATCTTTTCTGAGGCTAGTACTCCAACAAAGGACCATTCATGGAGATAACTAAGAACCCCTGCACAGATGTATCTTATGTGTCCAAGTGGGTCCCATAGTAATGAGAACAGGGATTGTCTCTGACATAATCTGATTGGCCTGCTCTTTGATCACCTCCCCCTCAGGTAGGAGCAGCCTTACCAGGCCACAGAGGAAGACAATGCAGCTACTTTTGATGAGACCTGATAAACTAGGATCTGAAGGAAGAGGAAGAAGACCTATCAGTGGACTGGGTGAGGGGCATGGGTGAAAAAGAGGGAGAGAAGGTGGGATTGGGAGGGGAGGAGGGAGAGAGCTACAGGTGGGATACAAAGTGAATAAACTGTAATTAATAAAAATAAAATATTAAAAAATTAAATACTTCTCATTTATTGTCACTTGCTTCTAATTCTTAAGCCTTTTGTGGTATAATTCAGGTCCAAAAGATAGTACATATTTAATGTATATGCTACTTAATTAGTTTGGAGTTAAGTATTCTTCAGTAAAAAATGGCAGAACACTGCCTGTCATAAAGCAATCCACCATCTCCAAAAGCTATGTCCTAGCATATTGATGACTGTATTTTTGTGTTAGAACCATATGAAGAGACACCCTCTTCATATCAGCATTTTGTCAGTATATTTCTTAAAACAAACAAAAAAAACCTTCCTCATTTCACACCATTGTACAAGATCTTCCCAAAAACACTCTAGTTTTGTCTTGGTTTACTAATACAATGGCATCCTAGACTGTTCTTTTATTTTTATTTTTTTATATGAATAACAGGTTATTTACTTTGTATCCCAGCTGTAGCTCCCTCCTTCATTCCCTCCCAATCACACCCACATCTCCTCAGTGCCCCTCTCTAATTCCACAGATAGGGGAGGTCCTCCTCCCCTTCCATCTGACCCTAGTTAATCAGGTCTCATCAGGGCTGGCCGCAATGTCCTCCTCTGTGGCCTAGCAAGGCTGTTCCCCCCTCGTGGGGGGGGGGTGTCTCAAACAGCCTGCCTAAAATCTGTACACCTAAAGAAGCTAAACAATAAGGAGATTCCAGGGTAAGCTGATCAATCCTCACTTAGAAAGACAAATGGGATAGACATTGGAAGTAGGAGAAAACAAGAAACAGGTCAGGAGCCTACCATAGAGGGTCCCTGAAAGACTACCTAGCAGTGTATCAAAGCAAATGCTGAGACTCATAACCAAACCTTGGTCAGAGTGCAGGGAGTCACATGAAAGAAGGGGAAATTAATAAGATCTGGAGAGGACAGGAGTGCCACAAGGACCAAATATATCTGGGTACAGGGGTCTTTTCTAAGATTGATTCTCCAACCAAGGACCTTGCGTGTATATAACCTAGTGTCCCTGCTCAGAAGTAGCCCATGGCAGCTCAGCATCCAAATGGGTTATCCCTATTAAGGGGACAGGGACTATCTCTGACATAGACCTTTTAAGAACATTTACAAAACACAGAAGACCTAAAAATTTTGGGCTGTGACATCTCAGCTATATGAGCCAAAAAAGTTACTTAAATACATTATATTTAAATGTTTCCATTAAATAAAAAGATGACAACAATACCATCTCCATGGGAATGACTCTGTAAGGTAGTGACTGCTGAATAGACTTAAACACCAGTGTTGTCTAAATATCTGTTTAAACAATGACAACCTCTCCTGGCACAATGGCACACTTTGAATTCCAGACCTCTGGAGACTGAGAATGAAGAAACTCTAGTTTAAGGCTATCCAGGGCTACACAGTAAGCTTCAACACACGGGCTATATAATGCGATCTTGTAACAAAAGGAGGGTGGTAATCACGTATTGAAACCTAACCTACAATGTGGTAATATAGGAACTGGTCTTTCATATGTTAGGGGATAAGGGTAGGTCTCAAGGGCAGCATTAGCGTTTTTAGCGACCAATCGACCTTGGCTTGGCACCCTGACTTTGACATTCCCGGATACTAGAGAAACAAACTATATATATATATATATATATATATATATATATATATATATATATATATATATAGTTATAGTTATAGTTATAGTTATAGTTATAGTTATAGTTATAGTTATAGTTATAGTTATATAGTTATATATATTTTATATATATAACTATATATATAGGTATTTTGGTATATTTATATTTGGTATATTTATATATTGTGGTATATATATTGATATTTTGGTATAGCAGTGAAAGTGAATTAAGGCAACTTTCAACTATCATCAATTTTTTCTAGTAAAATACGTATGGAAAGAACATCGTTTTGGCAGGGCTTTTCCCAGAGACCCATACTCCAACCAAGTACTAGGCAAGGAGATACCCTAGAACCCCTGCGCAGATGTAATCCATGGCAGTTTAGTGTCTAAGTGGGTTACATAGTAATGGGAAGAGGGACTGCCTCCAACACAATCTGATAGGCCTGCTCTTTGATCACCTCCCTCTGAGGGGAGAGCAGTCTTACCAGGCCACAGAAGATGACAAATCAGCCACTCCAGATGTGATCTGATAGACTAAGATCAGAAGGAAGGAGAGGAGGACCTCCCCTATCAATGGATTTGGGGAGGGGCATGCATGAAGAAGAGGGAGGGAGGGTTGGATCAGGAGGGAAGGAGGGAGGGGCTTATGGGGGGATACAAAGTGAATAAAGTGTAAAAAAACAATAAAAATAAAATACAAAGAAAAGAACATTGTTTTGGCTGCAAGTAGCCAATTTTATCGTTAGATGTGATAGAAGCTAAACCTTTAGATTCTCTCTATTCATATTTCAAAATCCAAAAACCATCAACATAGCCACTTGCCATATATTGTCTGACAAATATAATGTGTATTCTAATGTACTTTGTAAGCATGTTTTTGATTTTTCTTTTACTTCGGAACAAAGAGCAAAAATGACACCATAAAATTGGGCAATATTAAAAGCAACTTGAAAAGCACCACAAAAATCAAGCCATGCTTTGCTCATCTTTTGTTAAAAATAGTTTTAATATATTTAATTATTGGCTTTTGTTTCTGAATAAGAAAGATCTATTCATTTCTCCTGTCTCACTAACTGAGAATTTATTTTAAACTGAAGTAAGATTACAAATATATAAGCTCTATTTCTGGAAAAAAATTCCCTGAAAACAGTGAATATTTCAATGAAAGAGATATTATAAAACTCCATTGCTGATGCCAAGTGGCACATTGACTTTTGCCATTAAAAAATCTCACCAGGAGGGAGCTGAGGAGAGATCAGTTGGCAAAGTTCTTGCAATAAAAGCATAAAAAGACCTAAGTTGAAAAACCACAGTTTTAAAAATCCCGAGGAGGTAACACAGGCTTGTAATACCAGACTGGGGAAGCAGAGATTGGGGGATCCCATGGCTCACTGATCTGCCTGTCCAGCCTACTCAGCTAGCCTCAGGACAGTGAGAGACCAAAAAAAAACCAAAACAACAACAACAAAAACAAATAAATAAAAAGGATGGACATGGAGGAATGACCCCCTTTCACTCTCATCTCCATGTACCCACCCACATCCCCACACATATGTCTTCACACACACACACACACACACATACACACACACACACACACACACACACGTATGAGCACACACACACGCACACAGGTATGCACATGCAGTAGTCTCACCTGTAATAGATTTGATAGTCTCACTTGATACAGTCTGCCCAATTAGGTCGTATTGAACTAAGCTAGAAGACTCCTTTGGCACCTCCACTGACTTTTCGGGGCCTTTAGTCCAGGTATAGATCATCTCACTCTTGGGATACGCATCTGAATAAGAGCAGAGAGCGCGCTTACACTCAGGACTTCATCTTTGTCAATAATAAAAGTCAACACTTAGTGTGGCAAATGCTCAAGCAAAAAAAAAAAAAAAATAGAAAAACAATACTCATGTTTTTTTCAAACATGTTTATAATTTAGAAAAATGCGGATACTAAACAAATTACAAGTTTTATTCTTTTTATGTCAAAAGATGGGATGGTGTAAAGACTAAAACTAAAAACAACTGGAAAGCTACATTTTTATTGTTGTACATGGTCATATTTTCATTCCACTGAGGCAGGTAGCTTGAAAAGCAGAGAAACCAAACTTCCCAAACAGTAGTCAGATTCCTGCAGTTTTTACTTCTTGTCTGTCTGTACTTGAGCAATCCTAACTCCTTTCATCCCACACAGCTCTGCCATCTAGAAATGGACCAGATGCTGCCTCTAGCAACACAAACAGAACCGAAACAAGTTCTCCTTGTGAGGGATCTCTCTGGGGGTCACCACTTCTAGAAGCTGCTTCTGGCCAGTGCTCCGTCTTTTAGGAATCTTTCTAGAGGGTTCTAGCTATGTTGGCTGCAACACTCTTCATGGACTAGAATTACACAGCCAGGTCCAGTACCTTTTTCAATCCTGCAATTAGGGCACTTTCCCTTCTATCTTCAAAGAATCCACCCCAGTGGCAATTTGGGTACATTTTCTGTTATTCCTTGCTCACTGCAAATAGAGACCAGCTGCTTGCTTACCACTCTACCCAGAACAGATAGCTTGGCTCATGCTCAGATAAGTTCAAAAGAACCAGAATGAATTATGTGTCATCCTCCCCTACAAATACCCCTAAAATGGCTGGATCGCGGGAGGTCCCTGGTGAACTTGTTTAATCCTTCAAAAGGAATCCATACCCAGAGAGGCTTTCTTTATAGATGACCTTGAAAAACAAACTATGAGGCTTGAGTTATCATTGATCATCACACAGCTTTATGTCAGTATTTATCTCTGGAAGTGTATTGACAGTGATATATATTTAAACTCTTGCAGACTGTATTTCTGTCTGTGATTTTGTAACATCAGGAATCATCTCTTGTATACCCTACTTTGATAGAATAATATTTTTCTTGCATGGGTCTTTCATATTATTATTTTAAAAATAATTTAATAGTGATTTTTTTTCTTTCCAAAAATATTAAAAATTAATTAACCTAGTGAAAAAATTGTTTGCTGGTATGGCATACCTCTCTTTTAAATTCCTAATTTAAAAAAAAAAAAACTCTCCAAAGGGCGGTTCCTTAATCATATATGAAGTCTGAGATAGGAGCAACTTTGCTTTAGTCACTAGAAGAGTGCTTCAAATGAGAATAGGTGAGGTCCTGGGAGGAGAAGGCTTTCTCAGATAACAACTGTCTTTTGTAAAATTCAAATTATTACAGTAAAAATACAATCTTAATATTGGCCCCAGTAAGCTCACCCTCTCTATGTATTTTTCTGTTTTTATCTTGTCTCATTTAATCATTGGTCAGGGAGCAAATGACTTTCCTTAGCCTCAAGTTAGCCCGCTGAGTACTGTGATTACCAGGGTTATAAAAAGAATGGTGACTGCCGATTCTCATTAAGTCAAGCAATGAGCAATGAGAACAGCAGGCACCAGTTTCACAATCAGTGAAATGAAGAGTCTGGAGCAGTAGTAAAAGCCGGCATCTATTTTTGGTAGGTTCTGATTGAATAGAATGTTGGAAGCAGACCTTACAAGAGCAATCACACTTTGCTGCCATCCCAGAGAAAGGCGCTTGAGGAAAGGAGCCTTGCACTCTTTACTGCCCACTCATGCCCTCCTCTTGCCTCCATCTCCACTAAATGTTCCAAACACATCTATTTCATGTTTGCTCCTTTTGTGTCTAACCCATTGCCATGTCTGATTGCATGGAAAGAGCAGCGGACACCGGCTTTCCTGGACTTCTGCTCCAGCTTGTCTTTAGGCCATTCTCCATAGGAAAAAAAAATGTCGAAAGAGGACATCTTCGTAAAAACCTTCCAAAACCTCTTCCAGCTTTTAGATCGAACCAGGCTCCTTAATGGAGTCAACACTATCTCATTGACTTTCGTACCTCACCTCAAGTAGGCATCTGGTGCTAGCTCAACCACTGTTATTATAACAGTGCTGCCTATGAGATTTTAACTCAGGTTATTTCATGAAAGCATTAAACTTCCTTCACCTTTTCCTTAGCCTTCTTTAAAGGATTTTACTTGTCACTGAAGCTTTTAAATCATACCCCTTCAAAACGTACTTTCTGTGATACATTTATGACACGAACTGTTTCTGAATCCCTAAGTTTCAAAAAGTGTCCACAGATCCATTCGTTATGACTCAGTCTTCCATGGCCATCTATAAAAATAGGACAATGTCTGGGGTATCACTTTATATTTTAAAAATCAATAGTTTCTCAAAACTCAAGCGTTGCACAATTTTTCTCACAGATAAAGGATTTAAATACTGGATAATTAAAATTGCACATATATATATATATATATGAGATTGAATAGTATAATCAGAAATTTGAACAGCACTTTTACTGTAACTTACAACTCCCAAATTTCAAAGGGCAGGCATGGCCATCCATAGGAAAATCCACCAGTCTCATGGGACACTCCGCACTTATGGTGAGTCTATTGTGGAAAAATGCAAGGAAGCAAAATCAGCCCTTTTTGAAAATTAATTTCACAGATTCGTAAAATGAAAAGATGGAAAGCAAGAAGGGCAGGAAGAGCGGCATAGGAAGGGAAGAGAGAAGTAGGGGTAAGAAATAAAAAAGAAAAATTTATTACCTCATTGTGTATAAAATAGTGCCATTTCTCATAATTCTAAAAAGTTTATTTGGAGCTGTCATATTATGTGAGACAGATTTCTTTCCATTCCTGAAGAAAGTATCAGGGGTCCAAACTTTGGTGACCATCATATTGTTCAACCTCAAAATTTCAATGGGGCCATCATATTTTAGTCTTTTGTCAATCCATGTCTGTCTGAAGAACACATCCATTGTGTATTCCTAGGGAAGTTGGTTTGTGACATAGTCAAGTCACAGGTGACTACATAAACATATAAATAAAGGGTTCAATAGGTGCTAGCCCCTACCCTTTCCCAATCATAAAAGACTACACCAGTAGAAACTAACAGAAGCAGAGGTGATCTAAATCAAAAGAACAAAAACATACTCAGCAAATAGACTTTGTTACGTCCACCTTGATCCCTTCAGCTTCTGTATTCATAAGAAATAAATCATATGTATTAGTCACTAGGGACTAATTACTGTAATTAAATAAAAATGGCCAATTACAGGTAATTAGGAATGCACCTTGATTTATATCAAAGAACAAAAAATAGTTAATTGTAACAAGTATCATTACATAATTACAGACATTTCTGTAAGATGAAGCCAACTTTAGAAAAAAAAAATTGTTTTCACAAGTGTAGTAAAAAATTATCCAAGGAACCCAAGACTTTAAACCATTAGGAGCTTCAGGTCAAAGAAAAAAAATGTAAAGTAGATTTGTCATTGTATTTACTAAGTATATTTAATATATAAGAGCACAGCTGAAGAGATGAAGACCTCCTGACAAACACTGGCCCCTTTGACCTCTTTAAGCAAGGCATGGAAGGATAGAAGCAGAGCATTGGAAATAAGCAACTGAACCTGAGAGGAATATAAAAACACAGAAGTGTAATATTCTGTGCACAACTAATTAATATCTAAACTACTGATGATCTCCCATTTTTCTCCTCCTCTGTGGTTCCCACAGAAGGCCTTTCTGTGAAAATAGTTACAAGGGAAGACCTCTTTGTTGATAAAGGTTTCAAGTCAATAAATGCTCAAAATGATAGCTCTGGGATTCAGATTGAAATTTTTCTCTTTACAGAATTTTAAGTTTAATCAAGCATTGGCTTTGTGTGATTGGCAATGTAATAAATATTAACTGTCTCATTTCTGGCTTATTTTTCTTCAAACCTCAAGAGAGTATCAGGTACCTACCATTTCAACATCAGAAACAGGTCCAAAGCTGGTGACATATATGTCAGTTTTCACTTCTGTAACAGGACCTAGTAAGTATGAAGTAAATAGGTGTGAAAAAAATAATTACCAACATAACAGCCTTGGAGGACTAGATAATTAAAAAGTGAATACAGATATGACATGTCATGTTCTTGCATGCATATTGGCTTGTCAGTGAGATAACAAGTCTCTTTTTGAAAAAAAAATAAGTGTTAAAGAATAGTTTAGAATGGAACCAAATTAACCCAAAAGTAAAATAAAGAAAAATATTGTTTGCTTAACAGGCAAATAGACACCACAATTACTTACCAAACACCTGTTCCTACAGAGATTTATCACTCCTGGACACTCTTATAACAGGTAGTACAGACACACCAAAGCTTTTAGCCTTTGTGATTTTATTTTCCTTTTTTATTTTTGTTGTCTATCATCTGATTGGCCTCTAGAAAGTGAGCTGTTCAGAGGAAGAAACAGCAGGGTGTAGGAGTGCAGAGAAGTAAAGCTGTGGCCACTCTAAGGAGTCTTTGGGGAGTTGGGAATACTTGTAAATTACTTCCAAAATGATTAATGATTAACAACAGGCACCCCATCCAATGGTGACTGAGTTCCAAAACAGGTCTTTCATCAGTTACCACCTTTCAGGCTGTGCCACCTGTCGGCTGCAGGATCTTCAGCAAGTCACTTAACTGCTCCATTGGATTGCAGCACTCACATCTGTCTCACAGAATCTTTTTAGCCATCAAATGAAATGCCGAGTTCAGTGGCTTCCTCATGCAACAGCTCATCCCGTATTAGTTTCCCTCTGCTGCCACTGAGACTCTTCACTAGCTAAATAAACGCCAATCATGAGCAAGTTTGTGAATATTTAGCCCAGAGGGGAAAAGGTAGGGTCATGATGCCAGTATTCTGACAGAGGAAAATAGACAAAAGAATACTGCCTTTCTCTGGGTTTAGACTGTGCTTTAAATCTTGAAATTTCTGTAATTCAGATTCAACTCAACAGTACTTTCTAGTTTTACCAATTTTGTCCGGTCATATATCTTCAAAGGCAAAGATTTTAATGAGTATTAAGTGTATTAGCTGTAAATCACTTTCCTGGAAGATAATATGTTCATAGTGTATTCAGTTGTGTCAGTAGCTAGTTATTGCAGATGGTTCAGCATTTTACCACCAATAAAAACATATAAATCATTGCTCTGCTAAACGCTTTCCTTAAATGATGGTTTATAATGCCGCATGGCCAGAGGCCACATACTCTGTAGCTGGATATTATAGCATATGCTATTAAAATAGAATATCACTTGGATACTGCTTGGAAAATTGGATTTATGCCAAAAGAAGGGCAAAGAGCAATTGGTGGCACGTAAGGCTCTAAGTCTGAAGTCAGCCTCATTAAAATGAATCTATCTATCTCTCCCTCTCCAGACTGAGGACTAGGCCATGCAAAGACAGATCTAGGAAGAATGAGAAAATTATTTATGGAATAAGTATCCTAAGAAACACATAGCTTCTGGAAGTATAATGAGAACAAAAGTATAGCACATGCTTTCATTTTTACATAATATAAAATGTGATTCTCTGAAAGGATAGAAGTTAAACTTTTTGATGTAAATGAGAAACTAGAATCAACAACAACAAATGGTAATGATAAGCTCATTAAAGCCAAATCAGTCCAGAAACAGGTATTCCAGGAAGCAGGTAATTTATAACTTTTTGAACCATGGAAGAGAGCAATTTCACACATATTGGCTCAAAACCACTGTCATTTTCTTAGCAACAATTGCCGTGGTATCAGAAAGCAGAAATGCTGTCCTTGCAAGTAATAGTTAGGGGAGACAGCCTCACACAATTAAGACTGACACTGTCCTGACAAATGTGCTATTTTTCCAGATTCTTGGTAAAGCAAACTATTTCAAAGACACATTAAGTGTAGTGTTGCTCAAAGGTTATCAGAGAATCACCTGGACAGGTGGTGAAGCACACATCCTTGGACAAATCCCTGGACATGCTGACTTGGTAAACAAGGTTGAACCTGACAATGTGCAATTTTCTAGACGGTTAAAAAAAAAAAAAAAAAAAAAAACTGTTCAGTTTACTGTTGTTTACAAACATCCACTCAAGTTGTTTTCTCTAGCGTAGTTTCAATAGTTTCCTGTGAAATACTGACACCATAGGTGTGTCGAGAGAGTGAGTGTAGCAGGAGCATTCAGGAGAAGAACGGGAGCAATATTTTTTTCCTTATTAACATACTGTAAATTGTTTGAGCTTATGCTAGTTCTGTGGCTATAATCATCCTATGATAATAAAATACATTTATAAATTCTTTACCAACCTAAATTCTGCTACTTTTGCAATAGTTCCTAAATATTGTTCTACATTCAGAATTTTAATCTCATTTTTTGTGTGTGTGTGACATTTTCTGGCACTTGCTTATATGATTATACTGTACATTGAATTGAGTGAGATTCTAAATGCATGTGACTGGTAAAGAAACTTTCAAGGACATCCATTCAATAAATATTTGCATGAGCACCAGCTGATGGCAGGTTCTAGAGGAGTTCCCTGCCTCAAGAACTGACCATGCTGCTGGGAGAGTTGGAGATTAAGCAGCAAAGAAACAAATGAGATGACAGAGAGCAGTTATTTCAGGATTGAGTGCAGTGCAGGAAGGTACGAAAAGGAGAGGCTGGGAAAGCAGGGTTGTGCTCAGAACTGCTTCTTCAAAGCAGTGATGTTCAAACTAGGCCTTGAGGATATTCATTAACTACTGGAATTGCTGGGACAACATCAAGCAACGAAGCCCTTACTGCTTTCAAGGACTAGAAAAGAGACCAGTGGGACAAAACAACATAGGATAATGATAAGAAATTGAAGCCACAAAGAGAAATAAAAGCAGGGTGCCATAGCTGGAGCATCCACCTACTCCTGAGCCCATTTCTTAAAAACGGCATCGTTTAAGTAACACATTTGTAATACATGCTACAGTGACTTCTGTTTAAACTACAAGCAGTAGGACTTGCAAAATACCAGGGAACAGCCTGGAGATGAAAAAGATTTCTGTCGACTGTTAAGTTCCCCCACATTCACATGTTGAAGTCCTAACTTTCAGGGCCTCTAATGACTATTTTTAGAGACAGTGCTCTAAAAATGTAATTGTGTTAAAATGAGGTCTTCTGAATAGTACCTAATCCAATATGATTGACTGGTGGCTTTAAAAAAAGAGGAGATTAGAACATAGATACACACCACAGGAAAACTATATAAAGACACAGAGGAAACACTTTCTCCAGGCCAACAATCCAAGCTTGTTGATGCCTTGATGCCTTCAGACTTACAAAGAAATTAATCTCTGCTGTTTAAACTACCAGTCTAGAGTATTTTGTTAAAGTGACCCCGTAAAAAAAATAAGCATAAAAATAGCATTTTTTTTCTATTTTGTCTCTGATATTTTTTTCCTATGCTACTCAGTTTAGCTCTGACATGAATGCAGGTTGAAGTAAGAAGTTTGATTTGTACCCCATAAACGCTGACATACCACCAAAAGCTTGAAATAAAGAAAGATTATATAGAGATAGATAGATCTAGATCGCAGGCTCCTTTATGGAAAATAAGTTATAGAGTGGCAAGAGGATAAAAGGATCCATATAAGAGTCTGTTAACCAATTCAGGGTAATGAAACCAGAGTATGGAATGGGACAAATCAAGAAAGTGGACAAATCAAGTGGCATGATTGTGTACAGTAGCTTACAGAGGGAGGCTTTCTTTTCTTTTTGAACCAAGGTACAATGAGCAAAGAAATCATTATTGTGTATTTAAGCTCTATTTTTATGCCAGAGATGATGGTAAATTCATTCCATGTGACATTTCATCTTTATTCAGCTCTCCAAAGATCTATCATCATGATCATGGGAACTGTATAGATCTGAAAACTGGGTTCACAGTTCTAGCTCCTCCTCTCAGTCTCCAAGATGTATTCTAATTTTACTATATTATATTATCATAAAATTATTAATCCATGGTCATTTAACTAAACATGTAACTTTATTACATTATCTTGATTGTGAATCCAGCTGTACCTACATTCACTTTGTTCAACACTAGGTTCTAAATTATCTTCTTTTGGCCCTTGCATCCTACTTCAGACTCCTTGAATCTGCCTTTTTCATCATTAACAGTTGACATGAAGTCTCAATTGCTTTCAACTCCTAAGCTAGCACAGTGCTTTGTAGAAACACGGTGCTGAATAATTGTTTTCCTGTGTTTCTAATATCATCAGTAACAATTCTTCAATGCTTCCAGAAGAAAAATGTGAAACTTATGTGCTGCATGAGTTAAGCTAAAACATTTTCCAAATAAAGCAGAAACTGTCTGATTTATGTTTGTATTCCCCCATAGAACTAATCTGCCACCTGAAATGCAATAGATCTCTGATAAATCAGTTGTCAATGAATACTGGTAGCTATGCAATTAAGAATAATTCTTAGATATGCTTCCTCTAAATCTACTGTTTAGGATGTTCAATTCAACCTTGCAAAGTGTCTAATTACATAGAAACTAGACAATTTGCGCTTTGAAACATTTGCTCCCATAATTGTAGAAGTATTTGAGAAGAATCAAAGACATTTTTTTCCACAAAAATCCTACTTCATTAGTAATAGGATTCTTTTTTAATTCTTTTTAAAATCTTTCTGTGAGGTGACACTTTGACCCTGAGAGTCTGTTAGGCAAAGAGAGTGGTCTTCATCAAGTGTCAATCAGACAAAACTGCTAATATGAAATTCACCTAAATGATCATATCTAATTAACTGCCTGGAAAGGCAATTTAGAAAGTACCAGATAGTCTTCCACTGTTTATTCAACAGCCAAAGACCTAAGGGATATTACCTTCTAACTTAATCACTGATCATGGTATACAATTTGATGTCACATCATGTGTGTGTATCCATGAAAATATTTGAAATGGCATTTTATTTTGAGGGAATTTTAATATTTTCATTTCCGTCATGTTCTAACATCATCAAACATCTTTGAAACTCTTTATTGGCTG